ACTACTAAATGAACTCATAGTGATCCACCTATTTACAGCCTCCCAAGAGCTCTTCCCAAGAGCTGGGATTACAGGCGTGTGCCACTACACCCAGTCTCAGTTGCAATTTTAGCATGCCCTAGGGGTGGGGCCAGCACGGCAGGCCCAGGGATTGAACCTGCGGTCCCTGCGCCTGCTTGCAGGGCGCTTTAATCTGCTGAACTATTTGGTCTTTTTGAGACAGGGTCTCACTGCAGCTCAAGCTGACCTTGAGCTTACTTTGTACCCCAGGCTGGTCTTGAACTTGCAGCAGTCCTCTTGCCTCATCCACCCTAGTACTGGGATTACGAGCGTGCCCAGCTACATTACTGTGTTTTTATAATTGTGCTCCTAGTTCAAGGGCACTGGAAAAAAAAAAAAAAAGCTTGCCTCAAGGAAGTGAATTGGATTAGGCTGGGGCAAAAATTGGCAGGTATGGGTAAAAACAGTAGAGTTCCAGCCATTTGCTCTGAGAATAACCCCTTGAGGTGAGCAAAGACTAGTCCTGTTGTCATAGTTTCCATCGCTTCCATTTTGTAGATGTGGATACTGAGGCTCACACCAACATGCCTTGCCTAATGCCACCTATGGGTTTATTGAAATTTCGTCTGTCGTTCAACCATCAGGCTGGCCAAGCTGAAAAGCCTTTTGTCCAGCAGAGGGCAGTCGCACACTTGGCTGGGAGAAGGAGACCTACAGGCGCGCTCGGATGGGCCAGCATGCTCTCAGCCTCCAGCAGAGGGCGCGGTGAGCCGGCCTCAGGTGGCCCTGCTAGGCTGGTGGGGGGCGTTCCCAGCCTCCTGACACAGCCGTTGCTCAGCGCCCTCGGGCTTTTTCTTGTGCTCTACTGCGGGCTAGTGTTAACCTTGATGCTTGTTTGTGCCATGATCAAGCTTCGGAAAAACAAATCAGACCAAGCCACCGAGTCATCTCGAGAGCAGAAGCGATGACCAAGGTCACCTGCGTACCGGGCCCCATCCCCACTCCTTACCACCTGGCGGGTGCGCAGCGGATCTTTTCTGCCACACGTCCCTCATGTAGGCGCTACCTTGACTTTCTTGAGGCAGGATGACCTGGCAGCGTTGGCACCCCACCCTCCGCTGGTTTCGCTTTCCTAATGTTTGAAAAGTGCCTTCTAACTGAAGGAGGATGGTGGAACAGGTTTCAACATTTTACTTAATTTTTTTTAAGTGCTCCCTTGTTGAAGATTTCTTTTTTTTTTTTAAATTTATTTTAATATTTTTTTTAATATTTTTTTTAATATTTATTTATTTATA